ATGTCACACACAGTAGTCTCTCATAGTCTTGTCTGTTGATAATACATCCTATGTTACATACAGTAGTCTCTCAGTCTTGTCTGTTGATAATACAGCCTATGTTACATAGAACAGTCTGCACAGTCTTGTCTGTTGATCAGTTGACCTATGTCATATACAGTAGTCTCACACAGTCTTGTCTGTTGATCAGTTGACCTATGTCATATACAGTAGTCTCACACAGTCTTGTCTGTTGATCAGTTGACCTATGTTATATATAGTAGCTTCACACAGTCTTGTCTGTTGATCAGTTGACCTTTGTTATATATAGTAGCTTCACACAGTCTTGTCTGTTGATCAGTTGACCTTTGTTATAATAGTAGCTTCACACAGTCTTGTCTGTTGATCAGTTGACCTATTTGATCAACAGACAAGACTGTGTGAAGCTACTATATATAACGTTGACCAATGTTATATATAGCAGCTTCACACAGTCTTGTCTGTTGATAACACAGCTTATGTTATGTATAGTAGCTTCACACAGTCTTGTCTGTTGATAATACAGCCCATGTCACATACAGTAGTCTCTCAGTCTTGTCTGTTGATAATACAGCCTATGTTACATAGAATAGTCTGCACAGTCTTTTCTGTTGATCAGTTGACCTATGTCATATACAGTAGTCTCACACAATCTCGTTTGTTGATCAGTTAACCTATGTTATATATAGTAGCTTCACACAGTCTTGTCTGTTGATCAGTTGACCTTTGTTATATATAGTAGCTTCACACAGTCTTGTCTGTTGATCAGTTGACCTATGTTATATATAGCAGCTCCACACAGTCTTGTCTGTTGATCAGTTGACTTATGTTATGTATAGTAGCTTCACACAGTCTTGTCTGTTGATCAGTTAACCTATGTTATATATAGCAGCTCCACACAGTCTTGTCTGTTGATCAGTTGACCTTTGTTATATATGATAGCTTCACACAGTCTTGTCTGTTGATCAGTTGACCTATGTTATATATAGCAGCTTCACACAGTCTTGTCTGTTGATAACACAGCTTATGTTATGTATAGTAGCTTCACAGTTTTGTCTTTTGATAATACAGCCTATGTTATGTACAGTAACTTCACAGTCTTGTCTGTTGATCAGTTGACCTTTGTTATAAATAGTAGCTTCACACAGTCTTGTCTGTTGATAACACAGCCCATGTTATATACAGTAGCTTCACAGTCTTGTATTTTGATAACACAGCCCATGTTATATACAGTAGCTTCACAGTCTTGTCCGTTGATAATACAACCTTTGTTATATACAGTAGCTTCACAGTCTCATCTGTTCATCAGTCAGCCTATGTTACATATATATATATAGACACACACACACAAGTAGTAGTAAGCTTATAGTAGCAGTGGAGTTATGATGTAAGAAGTAGCAAGGACATGTAGGCATTCACATCTATACATCCTGCAGATAATTAATTTATGTGACACACAGCGCAAGGCCCCATTTTATGACCATTGTGTTGGTTCAACTGATGGTCATTTTAGCATAATGTATGTTAATGTCTACTACACTGGTCAACATACTCCTTGATATGTCATGAATGGTAAATATGTAAAGATATTTCTGTATACATTTTTGTTTATGGAAGTAGACTTTCAGCTTTACATAATAATGAACTGACAGGAATGAGTGACAATATATTTTACCACAGTCATAGCTGAAAGTTCCAAATAACCTTTAACTGTTTTATGCAGTTTATTTTAAAACTACTAACTAGCCATAGGTGATAATAGGTCTCAAAGAAGTTTTAGGAAAGTTACTATGAAAATATATCAAACACTGTTTTAAATATTTAGTCATATGATCAATTGTGTTCTGTAAAACAAAACATTTTTATAAAGTTATAGACTGACACAAAGAAGTATCTCACTATAATATACCCAGAAAGTTGTTATTGTTTTACTGTAGCACAGCAATTTAAAACAAACCTTTTGCTCTCCAGAATGGCTTCTTATAGTAAACATTGGCTTTTATTACACATCCAACAGGAGTTCTCTGGATCAACTGGTTTCTTAGAGGTGGTAAAGGTGGGTCATAGTGTAGCTTCATTTGTAACGGAAGGGGTATAGCCATAATCAAGTATTTTGCCTGAAAATAAACATATTTTTTAATTTGCTTGTTTGTAGTTTGAGCACAAAGCTGCATAATGAGCTATCTGTGCTCTGCCCACCATGGGTATCGAAAGCCGGTTTCTAGCATCATAAGTCTGCAGACATACTGCTGTGCCATTGGGGGCATAATCAGCTTAAATAGAGAACTGTACAAAAATAACTAAAAAAAATAAAATAATGCCATCATTTGTTTCCAAGTAGTTATATACAGGTAATAAAATAAGGACATTTTCAAACTTATAGAGCAATTAGGAATTGTAGGTTTTATTCTACTTCTACAGCCAAGTAGGATATCAATACTTTTAATGTGAAATTTGTGAAAATATAAACCTTTAAAACAAAGTTATGATAAAACAAGAAACCACATTAATCTAATACATCCAGCACCTTGTCAGTGTAAACTACATTAAAATTAATACATCAAAGACATAATGACTTCTCTAACAAAATAAGAAAAAATATTGCTGACCTAAAGTTCCTACCAGCCAGATGTGTGCTCTAATGAGTTAAACTATTATTGAACCAAAGTTCCTACTAACCAGATATGTTCTAATGAATTAAACTATTAATGAACCAAAGCTAATACCAGCCAGATGTGTGCTTTAATGAGTTCAACTATTAGTGAACCAAAGTTCCTACTAACCAGATATGTGCTCTAATGCATTAAACTATTATTGAACCAAACCTCCTACCATCCAGATGTGTGCTGTAATGTGCTGAACTATTGCTGAACCAAAGTTCTTACTAACCATATAGGTGCTATTATGGGCTGAACCAGTTTCTACTGATCAGATGGGTGCTGTAATGAACTTAACTGTTGCCATTGTTCTACTTAGCTTAAGCTCACTGTTTTCAACAATGTACTTAATTTTGAGAAGTTCTTTTGACATACTGAACTCCGTATGAATGATTGTGACATGCAGGTAATTTACTTAAATTCAGTGAACAGAATGGCTGGAGTAATTCAAAATGTTTTTCTCCAGAAATTATGAAATATATAAACTCAGAAACCTTATAATTATTTTTTTATTTACGTATTACATATCTCTCTTTTTTTTTTTTCTACAGAACATGCCCAATTAAATTGAATTTGTTTGTAAGTTCTAAATGCTAACTACAAACATGGTTGAGAGCTTCCAAAAACAAATATATACTAGAATATGCTAAATGTCTATGTGTTTCAAAACTTGATAAAACTTTATATCACGTTGTCAACAGATCACTATATATTCAATGTCCTTGTTACTCAAAACTTACTAACCTTCAAAAACAAGTTGTTAATTACTTTAACAATGTAAATATAACTCAAATCTTCCTAACATCTGAAAACAAGTTGTTAATAAATCAATACATACTTAACATAAAAATGACTCGAAACTTCCCAACTCAAGTTGTTAGTAAATCAATAAACACTTGGTTTTTATAAGCCTTATATATTACAAATAATGTACATATTGTTTTTTACATTAAACCTTTTCTTACTTTGTATGACCTGCCATCTGTTGTTGTTACTGTCACATCAATATCTGACTGCTTCAGCTCGTATACTTGCGAGTTTAATAACACCTTTTCTAAAATAAAAAAAAGATTATGTAACTTATAACTTAAATAAAACAAAGTGAAATTCCATTTATACAAAGAAAGTAGAATTACAGCAATCTGGATAAAAGATTTATCATTAAAACTTTACAAGAACTATATGCTGCAATACATATGAAATTGGCCATCAAGTTTATAATTTTAACTTTCATAAAGTTACTTTGAAATAACAGTTAGTAGAGAATAGTTTTGTTCATCAGGGGAACATATTTTTAATTTTATTTTTTCTGGTTATTAAAAGGTATTCTTTGAAACAGCAATTATATTTGCATAGTCTTAGCTTCTGTTTTTTTTTATTAATAATAAATATATTAAAAGCCTTAAAATTTTGGAAGAAGAAAACTCTTTATCAAACCTTATTCTAAGTATCTATTTCATATCAAGTTGTTTTACATGATCTTCACCATGTAAAAGTATTGAATATACAAGTTCCCTTATTTTGACATCCTTTAGGGGGAGTTCTTATTCCATACAAGCTTTTGTCTGCCATCCTATTATCTAACCAATCCTTTCAGCTCTTCTAAGCTATCATCACTGTGAGTTAAAGTTTTAATATAACTTGATCTGACAATCCCATAACTTCAAGACAGTATCTTTAGTTGTTTATCTGCAACCTTAAAGTTCCATCATCTACTTCTCATATCCTCGTCTGTTATAACATCTATAAATTGGTCATGTGCCGATGAATTAGGCATACCCTTCTACATTTACTGCAGGTTTGGCTAAGGTCTCATTTTTTCTTTCTACCCTCTTCTGGAAAGTTGCTCTGGATGCTTTTTTTTCTGGTTCAACACTGTTGAGCCTATGCAGTCACCTAAGCTTGATAGTTGTTTCTGCTCTCAGCTGGATGGTTACTTAATGTTTCTAAAGTTAGTGTTTTTAAATAGGCAGCAAGACGAATAGCTTGTTGTTCACTATTCCATCTGTTCACTCAGAAAATGATTTCAAACTCAGCTTGGTATGACTCCCTGATACCTTCCCATCCTTAGTTTCTCAACTGGTTGATGTTGAATTGGCCACCTAAATTCAGGAATATGCTTTGGTAGTGTCATGGCTGGAGTAGTCAAGGGAAGTCCTTCAATAACAGGTAATGCAGCAGCAGTGGTATTAAGTGTAGACTAAATAAGTTGGCTGGAGTAGTCCAGGGAAGTCCTCACAGCTGCTGTAATACCTGTTATTGGTAATAAGCCTAGACTAAATAAATTCTATTCCATGTTTTATTACACATAGCATTCCAGGATGAAACTCTTGAGCCAGTGCAAAAAAAGGTGTGGTTGGTTTAATCTTTGCAATAAATAATTCATTATCAAGACATTTTGTTCTGTCACTGATGTTTTTTTCTACCTAGTTGATGTCCTTCTTTACTTCATTTGTGTCTTTTTTGTATATCTTCAATTTTATCATCATACTCATTTCACAATTCTTTGATGTCCTTCTGCATTTCTTAAAATTTGTTATTGTAATTCCTTGAGAAGTCCTCTATAGCTTCATCGATCTTGTTTTAAATCAGGTTTATTTCTTATTCTAATTCTCTTTCTTTTAACCCATCTTTAAATTTCTGTCATTTTCTGTTTCATTCTTCCTGGACTCCTTTTAATTTCTAATCTCTTTCTTCTTAGTCTTGTTCTATTAATTTTATCATCTCCAAAAATTCTTGGATCTCACTAATTTATTTCATGGTTGCCATCTTCAACAGTTGAAGTTTTCTAAAAAGTTCTACTTTATTTTTCACTAAAATAATCCCATTTCTGACACTAATGTTGTATATACTATGCTTTAATTTATGGGTTATTTGAAATTAGGTGATAAAAATAATCAAAAATACAGTCAAAGTTAATCAAAACAAATTTAGTTTATTTCTTCCTTAAAGTTTTCATAAGCTTATGCACATCATAACTTGTAAGCCATGTTTACAAATGATGCTACCTGGTAAAGCGTAAACTTACTTGTAGCACTTCATGACTGAAACAAAAACACATTGACAGATTTATTCTAGAGGGTTAAAAAACTTACTTGTAGCACTTCATGACTGAAACAAAAACACATTGACTGATTTATTCTAGAGGGTTAAAAAACTCTATAGTGTTATTGATGTTTCTCTGAAAGTTATAATCCAACCTATATGTGTACTAGAAAATTTGACATCAAATATATAATGTTCTAAGCTTACTTCCAAAAACATATTTGATCATAACAAAACTTTTTGTGACACCATGGCACCTATTGGTTCATCTCAGATGTTCCATCCTTTAAACTAAATTTAAATGAAAAATGTAAACAAATCTAAAAGCCAGCCCTTATCATTCATATACTTATCAAGTTTTTTCTTAAACTCACTTAAATTT